CGCACAGTGTTTGAGCCCATTAAAACCAAGAGCACAGTACAATTTGGAAAAGAGTTGCTCAGAGTTTATTATTAGGACAATGCTAAAACTTATATTAAAAATTCCTTAAATTTATCAGATGCTGCTCGTTGCCATGTGAGCACAGAAAACGAAGCCCTTATTGGTGCCTGTCACAGAGGTGCACGGACAGGTTGCTGTGAAAACTTCAAACCTGAGCTCTGCCTTTTGGCCAACAAATCTTTTCAATGCTAAATTATACCAATTTTTTTTTTATTTCAAGAATATGATTTTCTTCCATTAGATTCCAATGTAGTCATTCTTGACCTTTTTAGATCTTATACACTAGCTGAGAATCAGCAAGAGCTTATTAATTTATATATACGTCTGTAATTCTCCCTGCCTCGAAACAGCTCTATTTTCAAAGCAATTTTTATTGCTTTGAACCAAACTTTTTTCTAGGCCTAAAAACATGTGCTCCAATCTGAAGCTTTAAAATGCTGAGTATCGTCTTGCTTGAGGTGTTTCTGGTGTTTCACTTTGATGCACTTTTTCACAGCAGGCAGGCCATTTTTAAGGGGGGCTGTTTGGCTATGTGTAATTCAGCAAAAAGGGAGGGGACACTGGCTATGGCGTTAAGATGGTGTTTAAATCTGGGCTGTCCCACTTGCTAGGTGTATGACCTTGGATAAGTCACTTCACTTCTCCACGTTTTTTTCCTCCACCTGAAACCTCTCAGGGCTATGTAGGAAGATAGCTTGTAAATTTTTCTTATAGATTTATGGCATTTATTGCATTGTCTGGCTTGTGATCATGACTGAAAAAAATATATTCTTAACATTCCCTTAAGGCTTAACAGCTTTGGCAGGACTGCAGATGCCAGGTTGGAAATCTCACGGGGATCATTTGAGATGACAAAGTGTCTTGCTCATAGGCCTTTTTCTTAGCATATTCTGCCTGGGATTTTGACTCTCACAGGCCTAGCCAGGGCAGCTCAGCCTTGGGATCCAGCTAAAAGGGAGGCCTACGCGCGTTAAAGTTGGGAGCATCTATAATGTTCTCTGCACAAGCAGCCCTGTTGTTTGGTTAAGAGTGTTCTAAATTTATTTTTTATGTTTTAAATTTTTATTTTTAAAAATCCAGGTCTTTTTGGTTTGATTTGTTCTTACTTTAGATTATTCTAGCTCATTCTTTTAAATCTTCCAATTCCGAAATGGTATTTTTTTTCATTGTATTTTATTCCTTAGATTTGCCTTCTATCTTATTTTAAGCAGTTTATCATTTTATAGTATATATTTTATTAAATTTATATTTTTGTTTTAAGTATATCTTTTTTAAAGCCTCACTGTGCCTTTATTTTTATCTCAGTCGTTATTTTTTAGCTTTAGTTTTTTACAATACTTTTTTACTTTAATGTTTTTGAAATTGCAATATTTTAAAAACTGTATTTACTTATATTTTTATTTCTTTCACTTATTAAATAACAGTTAAGTGTTAGGAGCCAAATTTTAGACTAGTTCATCTCGTAACGCAAAGAAGAGAATCCCTATTCGTTTCCCTGAAAAGGATTGGAATGTTGGAGACCTTGGTGGTAGCGCGTACACTGTAGCCAGCAGAGTGTTTAGGGAGAGGAAACGGTACCACATCTGAATTTATCCATTTAAAAACAAATCAGAACTCTGGCCCAGCTGGAGCACTAGAGACCCAGAAATATACGCCCCCTGTCTCCTAGATCACAGCTTCTTTTCTCCAGAAAGAAGCCTTCCAAATACAGGGACTTTGGGTCAACTTCACAAGGTAAAGCTGCTTTTAGGTAATTGGGCTTTTAGTTACTACAAAATCAGTTGGCTAAGACACAGAGTGTACAAAAAAAGTGTTAACATAGTAGGCCTGAGACTGGTGTCCTTAGGAAAGTCTGCTTTCAATTTTGCCCTTGGCTTGTACCTGGACTGGTAAACAGCTCCCTGTACTGATATCAAACTCCCCCTAATGACAGGGCGGTTCGCTGTGCCTGAACCCGTGCAAACAGGATGGTTTATGCAGAGCACCTGCTTTCCTTCTGGGAGTCTGGGCTTATGGTTCATGCTCAGCAGAGGGTGCTTACGGGACCAGCCCCCAATAAAAAACCTCGGGTGCTTCATCTCTTTGAGCATCACTGGTAGACAGCATGTCTGTTGTCACTACTGGTTGCTGGAGATTGAAGCATATCTTGCGTGACTCCACTGGGAGAGGATGCTTGCAAGCTTATGCCTGGTTTTCTCCTGACCTCACTCCATGAATCCTTCCCTTGACTGAGTTTGTGTTGTATCCTTTCACTGTAATGAATCTTACCTGTGAGTACTCCTGTCTTTTTCATTATTATTATCAGTTAGTATTATTTTGTGTTAAAAACACCTAAGGTTGGGCTGGCTGAGTGGCATGTTAAGAGTTCGCTTGGGAGCGCGAGCTCTGAGCAGCAGGGCTGCCGGTTCAGATCCCACATGGGCCAATAACACTGCCTTCTACAGCTAAGATGGTGAACAACAGCTCGACCTGGCGCTGGGCAGCCTTGAGTCGCCGGTGATGGCGTAGGCTGCAGCGGGGCTGCAGTGAGCTGCCATAAGCTACCGTGAGTGGCCGGCAGCCTGCGTGAGCTGCTGTGAGCCGCCCTGAGCGGTTGTCCAATGCCCGGTGACCAATCTGCCTCAAGCCGGGAAGAGCACAATGATCACAATACCAACATGGGCCAGTGAAGCGGCGTCCTCCACAATTAGACTGAAGAACCAAAGGACAGCAACTTGTCTGTTCCCCTTCCCCGATTCCCCAGTAAATTCTTTAAACAAACAAACAAAAACACCTAAGGTCTATCCTCTTGGCAAATTAGCCAAAGGATACAAAGTTTCAATTATGCATGATGAAATAAGTCTTGGAGATCTACTGTACAACACAGAGCCCAGTGTTAGTAATAATGTATTGTATTACTCTTAAAATTTTGAGTAAACTAAATCCCAATAAAGTGTCCCAAAGGTGTGTATTTAGTGTAAATTTGCCCAATCTCCTATGACATTCAAGAGGCCTACTACTTATCTCAGCTTAAAGTCCCAGCATCGGTTGCCTCAAACTTTGGGTCTAAAGCCCCGTCTTGCTCCTCTATCGTACATCTGCTCCATTCTTTGCAGCCACCTTAAATCCTTTTGGAAAAGAGTCATGACATAAATAAACAAGATACAACTGATAAATCATTACCCCTGAATCTGAAGTTTAATATAAATGTAAACATTTGCAGTTGAAGCCATTTTTACAGTTACTACCTTGCCCTGTTTTTCACTTGCAATTCAACGTTTAAAAAACCTGTTGGTCAACCTGACTCAAACCAAAGGAGAAACAGTGAGTGCTGATGTAAGTCATCTCTGTTTTGGTGGTATGCAGGTTAAAGCAAGACACGGCAAGTGCAAAGGTCAGTTTACTTATGTTTGTCCATTTAAAACCAGTTCCAAATACCTGTGTTTTGCATTAAAAGTAGTCTTTAAATTTAAGTTTCTACTTGCACACACCAAAAAAAAAAAGTTTAAAATTTTCTAGAAAAGCTATTTTTCTCCTTGATATGATTATCATAATTCAATCCATAGAGAAGGAACTGGGTGGGAATATATTAACATTTCAATTCAGCTCAAAATAACTTAATACAATTATTTGCCACTTTCGTTTCTATGCCATGGGTGCCACAGCCCCTATGCGACCTTTGTATAAATAAAGGAGTTTTATCTTATGGTGTAAATTATATCTTGCTGTAACTGGAAATCTCCCTGATTAATGTTCTGAGGAGATATGCAGTGAGCAACTTCTTGCTCTGCTGTTTGTTACTAAGAGGTCCACAAGGCTTTTGCAGGTATCATTAACTCTGTCTTACAGGGCACTTTGGGAAGAGTATAGACTTTATACATGACACAAAACACCAAAGAGTACTGTTCAGCTTATGCACCAACAATTAAGTAGAAACTTTTGACATACTGATGGTTTAACACGTCACCAAGGAAAGCATACAAGTGAGAACAATTTTGAAAATACATTGTGTAGCTTATTGTTGGTAAACTCACATTCCTGCTATTTGAATCACAGCTGAATACATATATCGTGTTGCCTCTCCAGGTGTGTTGAGATTTATAAGTCATTTGACATCTGAGGGTAACAAAACCATGTAAAATCAATAACCAGTAGGTGAGAAATTTGTTGGAACTAATTAATTGATTTTTTAAAATATTTTTTTCATAAGAAATCAATCTGTAGAAAAAAAATTTTCTGCCCTTCTAGCCAGGTTTATGAATTCCTAGGAAATCTCCTTCTCTGTGGTCCTGTGACAACCTCGGTATTATGTCTCATGCAGTGTTGTGAGGACAGCTAATTGGCAGATTCCCAGCTCAAAAAGTGAAGTCACCTTCCCACCCACAACCCTTCCTGTGTTCTGAAAAATTTTAAAGACAGAAGGGTAAAACCTCAGAGACATCACAATCCAAAGAGATCCAGTTTAATACACAAAATATCTCCAATCAAAAGTGCAGTTTCTTCCTCCCAAGCTGCCCCTTCGGGGCATAGATCCAACAGTAGTGAGATTGGCACCATCTGATTATTTCTATAATTTCTCCTTGAAGAAAAATGGCCATTCTTTCTCAAAAGGAACTGATGCCCAGTGTACATTAGTCATAAATGACCAAGAAGGACCCAAAACACTGATCATAACCAGTGTTTTATTAACAGAAAGGAATATTATAGAGAGCAAAACAGCAACAGCCTGACATTATTTGACTTGTGAAATTCAAAGTATAAGATTTTTCTTTGTGCTCACTGTCATGTATTTCAGGAAATGGCCACCACCCGGAAAGTCAGTAAAAGATAAACTAAAACTCCAGAATGGAGATCTTGAGAAATCCAACTGAAGGCATCAACAAGATTGGATCAAATATAAAATTATAAAAAGACTTCAGTACATTGATTATTCAAAATCCAAATTACAAAGGCTAGAAAACTGTAAATTCCATAAAACTTTTATTATTTATTAGCAGTGTATTCTTCTACACTTTAAAATAGAACAAAATATCTTTCTGAAGGTAAACTATTCATAACAAAATACATGTCAAACAATTTTTATTATTGGAGTAGAATTACTTTGCTATATACTTTCTATATTATATACATACACTTCTTGATTGTCTATGTATGCACATGTGTATAAATAATTAAGATTTACACATGTAGATACATATGACTACTATACACACATACTTATGGAAAATTTACAGTAGTCATTTTACAATCATTTAATAGCTGCACACAAATTAGTGTTCACAGAACTAAAATTGTCAATATGGTTCCCTTTCCCCACTTCTCAAGTGTCATCTGAATTATTTTTCACTGATAATTTTTAAAAAACAATATCATCATCCTATCCATTAAACCAATCTTTTTTATAATAACTCATAATAAAATATTTTACTATTTCAGCTTTAAAAAGGTATACAATTTAATTCCACTTAAATTTTGATTCCTAAAACATATAATTCATTTTTTTCATCAGTTTAGTGCAATTATTTGGTACTTTAGTTATTGAAGGTTAAGCTAATCAACCTGAGTCAAACATTCATTCAAATGCCTTTTTAAAAATGTAAAACATAAACAAGACGTTTTGCTGAAGCATGTATAATAGTCTTAAGGTACCCCCTCCTAATAAATACATTATAAAAAACTCAGCGGTTGAGAATAAAGCACTTCATATGGATCCGTTTAACTGTCTCTGAGTAGTCCATTCTTAAGCAGCATGGAGGAGTCAGGATCTAAGGCTCCCCGACTCCCCATAGAAATGAAGCCTACAGGCTTCCGGAGGCCTGAATATAAGCTCTCACCTGCATGAAAGGGCTGTGAGGACCTCTAAGGAGTCCCTTCATTTGCATGTTAGGTTTCTGATTTGCTAGCTTGTGTGTCAGGGGTTTGTAATCTCTTCAAAACATATCTCCTTTAATTAACAGAGAACTACTTAGCAGCATCTTTTCTGTTTTTTCTCTTCATTGATTTAAAACTGGTGCCAGACCATGTGTGATTATAGGCAACAACCACCTGCACCAAAGGCAAAATATTCTAGTTGGCTTAAGAGCTCTTTTGAGAGGAGGAAAGAAAGAAAAGCATTTGGAATGTTGAGTCATTTCGTGGAGCAAAGGCATGCTGCTTTCAGGAGAAACATTCAATGAATTCTGATCTTCAACTGGATGTTACATTTTGCCAAAGCCCCCAAGGATGCAAAACTAAATGGCTCAGCAACAGAAACAAAGGGAAAGGAAATGGTCTAATAAGCCCTATCCAATGATTATACTCGTGCTAGATAGAGATAAACTTGGATACACTGTTCCATTAGACTGACTTCCCAAAAGAAAGAATGGATAGGCCATAATCATAGTGGGAACATAAAAATAACTTTCTCCCTTATTTTTTCTTGATCAAGAGGAATTATATATTCATTGTACACAAAACCATACTAAACAAATTCAAAATACAAATTTTTGGTAGCAAACAGCAAGAAAATCTAAGTCAAAATATAGTCTAGATTTTACATAATTTTATATATTTATAAATTTATCAAAATAGCCTTTTAAAGTTCACAATACATACATAATGTAACACTGTACATGTAAATGTAATAACAAATGTATTACCGAAATACAGTAAAAATAACCTTTCAAAATACCAAATTCAACATTAAAACTGTCTTAAAAAGTGTTGACATCCACAAACATAGTTTCAGTGCATTTATCGTAGTCATTAACCAGATTTTTCTGGTTTCAAGTCTCTTGAAGGTCTTATCCTAGTGCCGACTTTAATTTAAGGTAAGAAGGCAGAGATAGTCTTCGGGCAAGCAGTCACTTTCTCTCTACTTTGCTCGTCCAGGTGAAGAAACTGTGTCTAAGAGTGGAACAGCATTCCCCGGAGTGGCAAGGCCTTAGTAATGAACATATTCAGACTGAAGGGACTGTGTAGGGGAGAGACATAAAGGGAGGTTAAATTCCATCACATGTAAAACTTCTATCTAGTCCATCATACAGCTTTTTCCTCCAACACAAGGCAGTTTGGGTCTACTATACAAAAGATAAACGAAATAAACTAAGAGAAAAGAAAAAAAATGAAGGAAACAAAGCAGTTGCTAAAATGAGATATTCAATTATGAAAGTGACTGCAAGAAATGTTAATTTTTAAATGGCTTACTAATTTGTTAATAGTGATTAAAAATTAAGTATTATTTGAAAATTTGTAGGTAGCACTAAACTCGCTTCTAAGCTTTTATGCAATAATACTGAGTTTTACTCAAAAATATTAAATGACATTTGTAATTAAACTGAAGATTAGAATATACTTTAAGAATATATATACATTTTTGTTTAATTCAATACGTATCAAATAAATGTTAATGCTTCTAATGCAGTAGAATTAGCAGTCATTTAAATTAATTCCTTAAGAATGTTTGAATTTAATAAATGCCTTACAAATCCCTTCTACTTAGGGGGACACAAAGCACTACTAGTTTTAGTATCTGAGCTTTAGACCCAAAAGCATTTGTGGAGAAGAATCTTTCAGTCATAACATAATAAACAGAAGGCAACTTTCAAAAAAGTAAACAATGCAAGTTCCTCCTACATCATATTAGATAATAACATATAAAAGGAGCACGTTTGGGATATGTAATCAGAAAGCACTGATAACAGACACAAGCCAGGAAAAGATAAAGAGAGGTGGAGAAAATTTGCCTAATAGTTATTTTTGAGCAGCAAACTGCAGTGAAAAAGAAGGAACACAAATCAGTTTAAACATTAACAAAATTTTTTGCACAATTCTTCTAATTAAATACCTTAGAACAACAAAGTTTACCTGGTTTCCTGCCAAATGCCCTCGTTTTCCCTTCCCCAATAATTACAGAGGGTGCCAAAAAAAGTACCATATATACATTTTAAGAAAGGAAAAAATTACACTGATGGGAACCACTTTAAGCACCTCTTGTAATTGCAGAAGTCAAACATGACTTGAATTCATCTTTTGTTATCGGTAATATATTGAGTATTACAATTTTAATACAGTTTTCCCTTGCTTAAAATGTGTATACATTTTTTTGGCACCCTCGGTATGTTTTAAATTGGTTTTATTAATAGGTTTTATCAATTCTGCAACTGGTCCATTTTTGTTGAAGGTATAGGAATCAGTAAAAAAGAATCTGTCGATTTTGCAAATAATTTACAAAAGAGTTCAAACTATCTTTGTTCAGCTTCAAAATCCCAGTGAATTTTATACTCTATCAACAACCATTTACTAAGTAAGTTATCTATTAACACCATGAGTCAAAAAGTTATGGTCCCTACCACCCCATCAAAGGAAACACCACACTCTCATACAGACATGGAATGAATACAAACGTGTCAACATGAAACAGTAACATACACAGGACAAGAGTAACACTGCACAAGCAAAGGATTGGACAAGGGGTGGTGAGGGAAGTTTTGGGTGGGGTGAGGGGTTGTCTATGCTGCACGTTTCAAGGAGGGGGTTAAATGTTAAAAGCCATAGGAAGAATTTTGGAAAAGGCTTGGCAAGCAGACTTCTGGCTACAGGGTGTGGTTCACACCAAGGCTTCAAAACAAGAAGATGATCAAGAATCAGGGCACAATAATGTAAATATGCCTGAACTCAGAGAGAGAATAAAAGAGCTAAGACTCTGAGAAAGTCCAGTGAAACTGGTCCACTGCCTTGAAACCCCTACACACTTAATTTGCAGGGTATCGGCTATCATCCTAGCAATGAGAGCTTAAGGGTGGACTATCATTTTTCTAGTTGCCTTTTCCCAGTTTCTTCTGAAGTCTGGCAAGTAGGCAGAGAGGGCAGAGCCAGGTGGCCTCCCAGCTGCAAGAATGCCACACAGCATGCTATACATTGGCCACTCACTATTCTCTTGGTAATATTTAACTTTTGCTTTTGTTCTAATTAGAAACGTTCTTCATGTTATCACTACCAGGAATTACAAAGCTCCTCAGATTGCTTATAAATTTAGAGCAAAGTTGTTTGGCAAGCACCTCTAAAGTTCCATCAATTCTCAATAAACAGAGATATAGCAAATGAACAGCTATGAGGGCAAGTAAGTTGTTAAATTAACTTTCTTCCAGGGCAAAGCACTTTATATATGCATCAATATATTGGGGGTCAATCTATGTGTACATATATTTATTTATTTTATGGAATCATGATACCCACTGAACTGGAAAACCGAAATAGTCTAGAATAACTTGAAGGATTTCTATCATTCGTATGAGGTATCTATTCGTTTGTTTTCTGCAGAAGCCTTTCCTTACACACAGCACAGCTCGTAAACTCTGGCTGGTGTTTAATCCTTCAGATACACTTTGTCACGATCCCTGCTACTTTCTTTGCCTCCCACCCAATGTGCTTGCCTACTTAACTGGCTCTGTAGGCCTCTGTAAACAAAGGAAGGCATGACTTGGCCAAAGAACCTCTGTCATGCTACTTTATTCATTGAACAAACAAGTATTGAACATCAATAGTATACATTAGGCACTGGAGGATAAAAATATAATACCCAAGTTCCTGAAACAAAACATATTCCATGGTTTCCTAATATAGTGTAAAAAAAGTTAAAGGAAATAAGAGGTCAGTAGAAAGGTTTAGCAAATTACTCTGACATCAGTATTTTGAAACAAATTAACTTCCTTTAATGTTCAATCTAAAATAAAAATTTTAATGGAAGTGGACTTAGGGAAGAAATAATTGTTAAGGTCTACCAGACCTATTCACTTTAAAAAATCATAACTAATATTTCAAGGCCTTTTCACTGGGGAAGCAATAGTGCGGGATGACAGTAATCTTTAGATTTCAAGCACCGCATGCTTACATGCTAGGGTTGTATTGAGGGTCTCTGGTTCACTTGTTTGCTAATGGACATGTATCCTAGTTACAAATATCCCAGAAAACACAATGGCCAGTCATCAGAATTTTTAACTGTTATAGTAAAAATGCACATGTATTTGTACTCTGTAAACAAGGCTGTTGGTTTTATCTGGAATTCTTAATAAATTAGATACATGACTTAACAGGTCAGTTATTCTGCAATAGATACTTACTGAGTACTTTCTATATACCAGGCACAGTTCTAAACATTTTGTATGTATTAATTCATTAAATGCGCCACACAACTCATTTTACAGATGAGAAAACTGAGGCACAAAACAGTGAAGTATGGGCCGGCCGAGTGGCGCGATGGTTAAGAACTGGCTTGGGACCCCAGAGGGCCGCGGTTCGGATCCCACATATGAGGGCCAGTGACACTGCCCTCCACAGCTAAGATGCTTAACAACAGCTCAACCTGGAGCTGGGCTGCCGTGAGTTGTTGGTGACGGCATAGGCTGCAGTCCCTGTAGCAGTGGGTTGCCATGGGCTACCATATATAGCCAGCAGCCAGCGTGAGCGGCCAGCAGCCACAGTGAGCGGCCGTCCAGAAGCCGGCGACTGATCTGCCTCACCCGGGAAGAGCGCAATGATGGT